AGTGGTTAGAATCAATCAATCATCTATCTATCTATCTATCTATCTATCTATCTATCTATCTATCTATCTATTATCTATTAGCGGTATATAAGTCTGTTATTTGTCTCTCTCTCTCTCTCTCTCTCTCTCTCTCTCTCTCTCATCTATTAGCTGTATATAACTCTAAGTGCTGTTTGTCTATCTCTATCTGTCTATTATCTATCATTTATCTGGTGGCGCAGTGGTTAGAATCAATCTAGTTGAGATCAGACACTTAAAGTTAGAACATAAGATAAGGTAGCCTAGTGACAATTTGAAGTTGCAACAGTACTTACGACCGTTTTTCACATTTAATGACTCTTTGCAATACCTCCATGGTCACTTGATCAAAAGTTATACACTTGCAGCTGGCTCATATTTATGACAGTTGCAGTGTTCCAGGGATCAGGTGATCCCCTTTGGCGACCTTCGGACAAGCAAAGTCAACGGGAGAAGCCAGATCCACTTAACGACGGCGTTACTAATCTTAACAACTGCATCGATTCACTTCACAGCTGTGGCAAGGAAGGTCACAAAATGGGGCAAAATTCACTCAGGCACTGTCTCACCCAGCAACAGAAATTTTGGGCTCAATTGTGGTCGTAACTCGAGGACTAGCTAAACAGAGAGCAAACCCCACCTCCTTCTAGCACTGATGATGTTCCCTAGTTGGGCCATGAAACGTCTGTGTGGGAAAAAGTGTTTATTGTTTTTACCGAACTTTGAGAGGACATGCTAGCTAGCCTGTGAAGCCAATAAATTGTATATATTTTAATCTCACGAACCTAGCTCAGACATGTCAAACTTGCGATGTCACGTGATGTATTGGGACTGTTTTACATTGCAGGGTGCGGCTTCTGCATGATGCATCTGGCCCGTGGGTCGGCAGTTTGACACCCCTGGCCTAGCTTGAAGCTTGAGAATTATATCTAGGAAGGTCTATGCTACTCTGAAAACCGGTCTTAACCAGAATTTACTGATATGATAGCAACTTTAGAGACAACCCCTAGGACAGTAGTAGGCAACCTTGGCTCTTTTATGGCTCGTGGACTTCAACTCCCAGAATTCCTGAGCCAGCCACGCTGAGGGGAAAGGGAGAGGTTTCCATGCTGAGCTATGCTGGCTCAGGAATTCTGGGAGTTGAAGTCCACGAGTCATAAAAGAGCCAAGGTTGCCTACCCCTGCTATAGACCAACTCTACATCCAGTGGAATTACTGGCTTGTACCGTTAGAGCAGGGGTTTTCAAACTTGGCCCATTTATGACTCATGGACTTCAACTCCCAGAATTCCTGAGCCAGCCATGCTGAGGGGAAAGGGAGAGGATTCCAAGCTAGTCATGCTGGCTCAGGGATTCTGGGAGTTGAAGTCCACGAGTCATAAAAAAGCCAAGGTTGCCTACCCTTATCCTAAGACGAAGATTAAGAGCAGGGGTCTTCAAACTTGCCACTTTTATGACTCGTGGACTTCAACTCCCAGAATTCCTGAGCCAGCCATGCTGAGGGGACAGGGATAGGTTTCCAAGCTGAGTCATGCTGGCTCAGGAATTCTGGGAGTTGAAGTCCACGGGTCATAAAAGAGCCAAGGTTGCCTACCCCTGCCTAGGAACTAACAACCATAAAAGGAAATTTGTAAATAACGGCCGGGGGGGGGGGGGGGCGACAGAATTAGGGGAATGGTTGAAGTAATCAGGGGCGGAGATAATGTATTCCCTTTAGGAGCTTTGGATAGGTTGTGATGACATGATTACAGTACGATTACTAAGCCAATGAAGAAGAGGTGTGAGGTAAATTTGTAATGGCAATGGAGAATATAAAGAATGAATATTGGGGAAGGGGTTTTTATTGTAAAATTTTAAAAAAAATTAATAAAAAAAAAGAAAAAAAAGAATGAATATTGAAGATTTAAAGTGTGTCCATTGTGTGCTTGCGTGCACAAGGAGCAGCACCCCCCCCCCTTTGGACGTTTTGGCTTGTGATTGTTTATTTCAACTAGACAACGAATCCCACATCTGCAAATAAACAACGAAGCTCAGAGAGCACTAAGGACCCCACATTTCAACCCTTCTCTAGAATTGGAGCTGCATTTGTTCACCACAGAGTTCGCTCTGGCTTTCTAAACCAGCTTAAACCAGACCAATAGAAAAATTCAAACTGTGGCTTGTTCTCACAGACAGTTTTCCCAGCTCTGGAAAGTCCAGGCTGAAACACTGTGTGAAGAGCACAACACCACTAAGGGAAGGCTATGTGGCAACTGTGCTGGTGAAGAGTTGCCTTGTGTCGAGATGGGGGGGGGAATAACACATTTAATAAACAGCGGTAATAATAAGATCGTTCTGCACTTTTTAAAAAGCACAATGGTGACTCCACCGCTTCCGTTGCACAAGGGGGAAGATATCAGATTTTAGGTGAGAGACTGAGAAATTGTTGCTGTCTCTGCAGAAAACCAGTGTGTGTTTTGTTGACAGCATTCATTGCTGTAAGCGTCATCCTAAGGATCTTGGGAATTATAGTCTGGGAACAGTCAGGCCTGTTATTTCTAACTCTCATGTGTTGGGACTGCAGTTCCCACAATGCCTTGTTCTGATAGGATGGCATATCCCACAATCTCCTAGTGCAGGAGTAGGCAACCTTGGCTCTTTTATGACTGGTGGACTTCAACTCCCAGAATTCCTGAGCCAGCATGGCTCAGCTTGGAAACCTCTCCCTTTCCCCTCAGCATGGCTGGCTCAGGAATTCTGGGAGTTGAAGTCCACGAGGCATAAAAGAGCCAAGGTTGCCTACCCCTGCCCTAGCGTGTTGAGACTGAACTCCTACAATTCTGGGAATCATCATCCAACAAACCAGGATAGGGAAGGGTGAACTTCATAGCTCCTGCCCTAAAAATTTTGCCCAGAGAGAAAGAAAAAAAATGAGTGTTAAAATCATTGATGGTGTACTACAGATCTACACCTTGAGTTTCTTCCGCTCGGTAGCAATACAAGATTCATTGCATGCGTTTGTCCGTGCACATTCACACACCTACACCCAGAAAGCTCAACTCATTTGCTTTTCTTTATGCCTCAGGTTTAACGATGGCGAACCTTACAGGGATTAAAGAAAGTTAATCATTTCAACAGCACTTGAAGATTTAAAGAAGAAGATGCAGCCTTGGGGGGTGCAATTTTTTTATGAGACTTATTCATAAGCTTAGATGTGGGGTGTCAGCCCTTCACGAAACGAAGGATGACAGAGACACCCCCATGGATTCTAGGAAAATTATTTTATAGGTAGACCGACAGGCAGATTGTTGAAACCTTGTTCAAATTTCTTTTTGTGCTTTCTTATCCTAAACCAGTATACCTCAAGCTTGGCTATTTGAAGACAAGTGAACTTCGACTCCCAGAATTCCCCAGCCAGCCATTTTCAAATGGGAAAGCTTGAGAAACACTGCTAAGAAAATCAAGCCAGGATATCTTGAGTTACTTTCTCACCCCTTCCATCTCGCTCTGGACAAAATAACCACAATTCAAAGCAGTTATTTCCTCCAAAAGTGAGCCCAGTTCCCAACCCAGGGGTAGGCAACCTTGGCTCTTTTATGACTCATGGACTTCAACTCCCAGAATTCCTGAGCCAGCCATGCTGAGGGGAAAGGGAGAGGTTTCCATGCTGAGCTATGCTGGCTCAGGAATTCTGGGAGTTGAAGTCCATGACTCATAAAAGAGTCAAGGTTGCCTACCCCTGTCCTAACCGACCCCCTAAGTTTGCAGTTGCCTGAAGTTTTTAACTTTGCAAAAATGCTAACCGAGCCCGTATCCATCTCAAAGGCATTTCTAGAGATAAAAATAACATGGCGGGCTGGTACTTTGCTTCCCAACTTCTCTTTAATTAAAGGGTCTGGTAAAAATAAAATAAAATAAAATTGGGGCAACCTTGCGGGTCGCAAAGGTGAGGCCTGTCCTGGTGAAGGAACACGAGCAGCTTCGTTTATGGAACTCGGTTCACCACGATTGTTTTTCCCCCCTGGATGCTTGAAGTTGATTTGAAATTAATTTGTGTGTTTTTTTCCTTATAGGAAGTCCAAGTTGATCTCATCGAGAGTAAAAAAAAAACCGAAGAAGGAAAGAAAGAAAAACAAAGGTATTTAAATAGAGAGGACGAGGAAGTGGAGAGGACACTTGAAACGGACAACTGTCATGAACATCAAACATTCAGTGACAATCAGATTGAAATTTTGCCCCCAAATTTTGGCACATTTGCCATAAACACACTCCCCAAAATGGGTTTTTATCCCTGCAAGAAAAGTAGGCATGCACCAGACAAAGGATGACGCTTCGAGGACTATCAATCTACGTCCAGAATAATAAACGCTTGTATAAAAGACCAACACTTGCTAACATCTCGACAAATAACAGCAGACACACTTCTGAGAAAGTCAACCCAAGATGCTTCTGGACTTTGTGCTGTCTGCTCGGAAACCACTTCAGGACTTTGTGCTTGAGGTGTGTGTGTGTGTGGGGGGGGGGGGGAATGAAACTTTGATTTTGGGTTTTGCTCATTGGATTGGGTTGTTTTTTTTTTTATAGAAATAGCTAGCAGGTCATTATTACGCACAAGGAAAAAGTGGAGGCTTTATGTTGTTATCTTATTCAACTTAACTAAAAAATCGTCAGAAGTCAGTGCTTTTTTTTTTCCTTTCCCTTCTACCGGAACATTTTTTCCTCTTCCCTTTTTTCCTTCCCTTACTTTCCCATTATTTTCATGTTGCTTTGTATTTTATATTTTGATAAATTAATAAAAAAAATTGTCCATCTATAAAAGAGAACGTCAACCCAAGACAGAGAAAGAAAGAAAGAAAGAAAGAAAGAAAGAAAGAAAGAGAAAGAAAGAAATGGAGAGAAAGAAAGAAAGAAAGAAAGAAAGAAAGAAAGAAAGAAAGAAAGAAAGAAAGAAAGAAAGAAAGAAAGAAAGAAAGAAAGAAAGAGGAAAAGTCCCATATACCTTACCGGATCTTAGTTGCTTGATTCGTCCATTGCTAGCACTGGGGTCAACAGGCAGGAAATCCTTAAACCAGGTGATCTCTGGATCTGGATTCCCGCTGGCGGCGCAGAGCATCGTAGCTGTCCGTGTACGTTCAACCACTTTCAGCTGAGGGCCCATGTCAATGACCGGGAATCCAGGAGGCAGCTGGTCCT